ACTCAAGCGCCTATCGACCGAGCCACTCCAAGCACCTACTTACCGAGTCATTCCAAGCATCTACCGACCAGGCCACTCCAAGCACCTACACCTCGGGCCACTCCAAGCACCTACACACTGAGTCACTCCAAGCAACTGCCCATCGAGCCACTCCAGACACCTATCGACCGAGCCAATCCAAGCACCTACTGATCAAGCCACTTCAGGCACCTTCCGACCAAGCCACTCCAATCACATTCTTCTTTTCTTTCTCCTCTGTCTCGCTCTATCTGTGTCTCTCTATCTCTCTTCCTCCTCTCTCCCTCTCTTTCTCTCTGTTTCCTTCTCCCTTTCTATGTCTCTCTCTATGTGTGTTTCGATCCTTGAATTAGTTAACAATGTTGAAATTTAGCAGTTGGTTTGGTCCTAACTCTTTTTTTTTGTTTGTTTTGTTTTGAGGGCATTGCCCGCACCGCCCGCACCGCGGGCGCTTAGCTAGTATATATATATAGGGGTTGGGGGACTCCAGGGGGCATTGGCACATTGCCCATCACTGCTGAACATGTGCACACACACCCCACACATGCACACACACACACACACACACACACACACACACACACACACACAATCAGTTGTCTGTTTGTCTGTTTTCTTGTTGTTGTCTGTTCTCCCCCTAATCTTTTCTAAGTGTTTTTGTTACCCAAACTGAGCACCCTTAAGTAGTGCCAAACAGTCGGTGGTTCCTTGTTTGGAGTGCCTACTGCACTCTTAGGGGGGCCGCTCAATTCGGGTTGTCTGTGTTGCCTGTAGGTGATGACGGATGCTCGTCAGGGTAACTCCCTGGCTCGGTGGGTGGTGGGAACCAACAGTCTGTAGGGATCAACCGTGATGTGAGTAGGTCATGCGCTGCTTTGCTCCGTGTTGGATGTGTGGACAGCCTCGTCTGCGCACCACCGTCGCCTTGCTGCCTGTCCCGCTTGCTTTGCATGTTGCTCTCTGCAAGTTGCTGTGTTCACTGTGTAGTGTGGCTGTGTTGTCGGTGTTGCCTTGCGCTTCGCTGCTCTGCTGCCTTGCTGCCCACTTGCTGGCCGTGCCTTCCGTGTTTCCGCGCTGCGCGCCATGTCTTCTTTGCAGTCGTTTTTGGCGTTGTGCAGTCGTGTTGCCTCTGCTGTGCTGCCTGGTGCTCCACAGGGTCGCCGCCCGCTGCTGTGTTTTTGGAGACAGTCTGCCTTCAACAAAGGTCAAAGGGTTCATGACCCAAACCATCTAATACGGAGATTCCCACAGATTGTCGAGGGTTCAGCCTCCTGATGAGTCGGTGCAATTCCGACGAAACAATCTTGACATCATCAGTTATTATTTTTATTTATATTTATATTTTTTTCGGTCCTTGAAACCTTTATGGGCTTTATTTTTTTCTGGTTTGCCTGCCTTGTGTGCTTGTTGTTGTCTGCTGTCTTATATCCTTCGTGCCTTCTAGCCCTTGCTTTTTTTTTGCCTGCTGTATCTGTTGCTTGTGGGTTGCTTGCCCTCCCTCCTCCCCCGTGCCCTCCAGCCCATGTGTTTGTCTTGCTGTCTGTGGCCTGTGTGTTTCGTTGTTCTTACTTCCTTGCCTTTGGACTCGACTCCACTCAGATGCGTATTCTCCTCCTGAAGTGTTGTGGTGGTATGGTGCATGGTCTGTATACTGTGCAGAGGCGTCCGCAATATGTGTTCGCACACATCATCACACACACACACACACACACATCTGCTGACGCAGCTGATGCAACGCCTACAGCAGCTGCTGCAGTGGTAACTGATGCACCTGATATAGCCACTGCATTTGCTGCACACAAATACATAATCACACACATAAAAACATACACACACACACACACACACACACACACACACACACACACACACACATGACTTTCGATCTACTCATCTGGGTGGAACAGAGTCCTCCCAGAAGCCAAAACCGGAAAAAAACAAACAAAAGAAACAGGAGGGCCTACTACCGGTACCTGCTCCCAGGCCAGGCCACGGGATAAAGGGAGGTACCACTAGCCCAGGCCACCTCCAGTTTTTGCCAATTATGAACCGGTAGGCCTCCAAACTCGTAGTTTATTGTTTTTCTTGCCGTTTCGAACTGCTCACGGGCAAATCCTGCAGCGGACTGTTATTTCTGCGAATTCTGATCTGTGCAGCAGTCACATGCGCAGTTGTCTCTTTTTTTTTCTTTTTTTTTTAGGTCCCAAAACTCACACCCGGAATGTCGCCCTCATGGACTGCAAGGGGCGTGCTGAGCAGGCGGGCCCTTTTTCTTATTTTTCTTTGGCCAGGGTGGTCCAGTGGTCCTGGGCCATTGGGGAAAAAAAAAAAAAAAAAAAAAACAGTGTCGTTCGGAAAACGGCCTTTTTTGAGGCCAAGTTTTGCCATGGATGGCAAGTGTCAATTAGTTTAAGGCTTTAAGCAGGCCCTGATTGTCCAAAACCAAGGTCACCATAGCTCATCCAGGAGCCAAGCACCTTTTGGCACTTCCTCAAGAATAGTACATTGAATTTCCTTAACTGCAGACAGTCCTCAAGAAACACCCTGGCTGCTTTATGTGCCTGCGGCATGCAAACAGGCAAGTCCATGATCTCCACCTGAGCCCAGATGCTT